TTCTTCGACAGGCTGTTCCAATCGTGCCCTAAGGTTTTCTTCGACAGGCTGCTGGACTTGGTTGATAGTGGTTTCTTCCTCTAAGAGTATACCTTGGTTTCCCCTTATTTGCGCCCTTTGGGGTTGTCGAATAGGTTGGGGTACCCCAAAGAAGTCAGTCAGACGCGTCATTTGCGCTGTCATCTGCTGATTCGATTGGGTGGTGTTTTGTATTAGAGGATTCAGCACTGTACTTAAAGTTTGTGCCAACATTTGAACCATATCATGGTTGCTTTCGTCCATTTGTTGCCTCAAGACTGTTGTCGAGGCATTTGTAAGGCCATGTGCTACTTGGGACGTTCCTCCTAAGAGTTGGGTCCTATTTCTGTTCGCCATACCTACTCCAGAACCTTGGAGTGGCGAAGAGGCACTCACTAAAGGGTCTGAAAAAGTGGACGCAGCGTTCGTCAGGCTAGCCAATTCAGAAGTTGGCATGCCATAGAGTGGTTCTCGATTTTGACCGCCTGTCATAAATCCTGGGGGAACATAAGGCCTTGTTCCTGGATTTCCCCTTGGTGGGGGAGTTCCTAAAGGCACTCTAGGGCCAGTGAACGGAGGTAATGGCCCCGTTGTTGTGACCGTTACTGCTGGTGTTGAACCAGCGGTTATTACTTCACTTGCGGTTGGGATAACCGTTGTTCCCACATTCGTTTGTGGGATTTCGTTATTGTTTGGCGGATTCGCCATCGCTTCTCTTCTTCTGGCAGTATTGGTATTGTTAGTGTATATTCTACCACTTCTCAATAACATGCAATACTTTTCGAAAAAGATGATATTCTGTGTAAAAAGGTTAAACTTCAAAATCAACACAAGGTCCCACCAGGTGTGCCAATTTGTTTACCGTGGGAATTGGTAAACAACCGCTGATCTTCCAAAAGGTTACTTATTTGGTGACTCGCAGGATCGATCAGATTGATCCTAAGACATGGTTGATTTTGGGGTTTTGACTAAGTTCAATAATGGTTAAATGATAAGAAAATAAAGAAGCTTTATGTAAATTGCATGAGGAAGAAAACTTGATAGAATAAAGGAAGGCTTGAAATGAAGGCTTCTACTGGAAAAGTAAATGAAGAGCAATAAAGTTCTGGAAAATAAATGACTTTGATTAATTAAAGTGGTGTTTCACACATACATTCTCAACAATTCTTTCTCTCACGCTGGGTACTCGAATCTATATGAGTAACTTGTATATAATTGTAAACACATGCAAAAAACTGCGTGAACTACTAATATTTATACTAAACACATCCCAAGTAACCGTCGGGCAGTTACGCTGCTTCGAGATGACTCCACTTGGCACGTTCACAACGTTCGACGCTCCAGATATTGGCACGTTGCACTTGGTAACCGCTGGGAACCGTTTTCCCTCCAAACGTTTGAATCTCAAGCCGTTCCACTCTGAGCAATCGAACACCTTCGTCGAGAAGCACATTCGACGTCGAAGGCAACAAGATTCTTCCTTGAAAGAAATTCTCTAAATACATTGCTATCTCCTGATGAGCATTTCGACAGAACCAGTCGGTCGAAACCATTCTTCAGCTTTAATGGCTTATATTAATAAAAACAAGGGTGTCGAATTTAGGAGCCAACAGGTGTGTCTTCAGGTCTATGACAAGCGTCATGGGGGTGACGGGTTACCTTTCATGACACTGGGACTTGCCACTCAGTCCGTTTGAGAATATAAAAGTGAAGAATTTGATTATTTGACTTTAAGTGCCTGCTTGACCTCTGTTGTGGCTGAGATGATGAAAATTAATAATTTAAACTTATTTAATCGAGTAATTGTTGATTGATGAGAGGGTTAATGATATATTGGGTATGTTGAATTATGATGATGTGTTGTTGCATGTATGAAATAATAATTTGGTTGAGGAGACTTATTGTATGCTTGGATTGCATTAATTTAAGTTGTGTCGTGCACTTGTGATTACGATTGCATGGTAATCCAGACAGGGGATTGCAAGAGTTGTCAATTTATTATGTTAAGATCAGATAGGGGTCTTAACACATTAATATTGATATGTATGATTCATGTATCATTTGAGTTGTGACAAGAGGCATGCTCGCTAGTTCAAAGAGGGGACTAGTGGCTTGTCCCAAGCTCAGATAGGGGGCTTGGAGCTCGAAGAGGGGGGGGATCATGGGTTCAGAGAGGGGACCCGGTTCCTGAGAAAACAAAATATTGAGTTGGTAACACATGCATATGCATCGAGTTGCATAGTCGGTTTGTATTATATAAATGAGTTATATGCATAATTGTAATTGTGTATGGTGTTGATGTGAGTGTGAGAATATTGTTGTGAAGTGTTGTTGTGTGCTATCGTTTAAATGTATAAATCTTCAGATTCCACCTTGTAGTATATACCATGTATTTTATTGATGTGATTTCTCACCCCCTTTGTTGTTGTTATGGTCTATGCTCCTCTTCAAAGTACAAATAAGCAGGTAACTGAGTAGTTTCTTATATCAGGAGAATGATGTGAGATTGTTCTTCTTTCCTTTTTGTTTCGCGTCTTTAGATTATGTTGCTCTGATATGTAACACCGGGCGGACGAATGATGCTATTTTTTTATGTTAATTAGAGAGTTAGTTGTTATACTCTCGCCGTTGTAATGCTTATGTTATTTTATGGACACTTTCACCGTATTTAGTTTTAATAAATTGTTTTCGTGAGACTTATATGATCTGTGAAACATGCTTATTTGCTAAATCTCGTAGAGATGATACTCTGGATAAAGGTGAGCATGCGATGACAGGTGTTGTATGATTTATCTTAAATTTCTAAGTGTTACAGAACATGTGATGATTTGAGAATGTGTGACACCCTATACGAATATGTGAAATATCTTTGATTTATTCTTTATATTAGGCACGGGGAAATATGGTGTTACAAAGGGTAAATCATCATTGATCACGTTTTATGTTTTGTATGTGCATTCAGTTCATTCGACGTTTAAGGATTTGACTCAACTAGCATTTGAGGGCTCACCTCCCTAACAACTAAAAGTTTACCCTAGGCTATATATACTTGAGGGACTCTCTCCATGTGCACCTGAGGGGCTTCCTCTGGGTCATACTTGAGGGACTTGCCCCAAGTGTGCTTGAGAGACTCAACCAGACCATACATGAGGGACTCATCCAAATGAGACAAGGCAATGAAATGAATCACATTGCCCTTTAAAACCCTCGTAATTGAGGGACCGTGTACTAGTGTAATTGTAAAGGATACATAAGAGGCGGTGCATGATTCACCAAAAGTGGGTGAATAGTACCTATCACCCAAAGTGGAGTCGTTATTCGCCCATCTATTGTTACGTGTGTCCCTTTATCACAACACACACCTATTTCCTGATTATATTGCCCATTCATTTAAATACCCGCTCATCTATGAAGATGTGGGAATGACATGTCCCTACTCAGTAATGGTACTAAAAGGGAAGTCAACAAAGAGGCCCATATTCCCCAATATTATAGGGGAAATAACTACCCATTCTCCACGCTCTTGAATGAGGTAAGGGCAGTTACTACTTTCTTAGATTTTAAGACTTTGACCCAAGAGATTCATATAAATACCTCAATCCTAATGGAGGACAATCAATTCACTTATAAAATATCAATATACATAACTTCTCACCAACCCTTCTGTCCAATGATAAATATTTTACCAAATGTGATAAAACGTTGTCAAGTAGTAAAATCTAAATTTGTTTTCCATAGGGATTATGCATTTTCAACACCGCAATTCGTAAGTACTAAAATTGTTGATTTTGGAGGTTTATTTTAAAAAGTTGGTTTAAAATAAAAATAAAAATTGTTTGAAATACTTAGAGAATAAAGGCAATGAGGTATTTTTTCGGATCTATTAGTTCTCATTATTGATAACTACGCCATTTTCTTAAACATGAATTTCTAACTTTACGATAAATTAACTGTTATACACAATTTCTTGATGTATAACCAACTCTTTTAAAAACAACTCTGTAAATCTGCATGTGAGTTTGAAATCAACAATTGTCAACTTCCATGTTACACATTTATAAATATCCATTCCTAGATTAATTACTAAATTAATTTTTTCAAGATTTCAAGTGTTATGATCAATAATCATTTTTAATGTCGATTTAATTTATATATTCGTGACCACACAAACATCATTAAGATCAAAATTAATTGAATAAAAAATAGAATTTAAAATTAAGAAAATAGTATATAAATATATTATAATATTATATAAATAATATCAAGAAAATAGTATAAAATTTTTCCAGTAGCTTCACAATTTCATTTCTATGTAAATAATATTATATAAATATATTATTTAGTATTGTCTTAAAATAAATAAACTAGCAATTCAAACGTAAGATTTCTTATAGTACAAAAGTAAGAATTTTAAACAAATAATTACTTCTTTTAAATAATAATTAAATTTTAATTAAAATTAGAAAAGTTCAAAAAAGACGACGTGCAATGAAAATCTTTTAGAGAAGCAATCAACGTCGATATCACATTTGGCGAATAATTCATGATCGATTACCAACAAGAATTCAGCTTAAAAGAAGAGGAATAATACTTAGTGATAAAGAAAAATTGTGTATTCTGTATAATGGCAGTCAGGAAGAAATCCATCATATATTGCTTCATTGCTCCTCTGTCAACCAAGTGTGGCAAGCTATCTTGACTAAATATTCAGGGGGCTGAATAGTTCTGGTTATATTTGTTGTGATCATCTGTTAGCATTTTTGATAAATATTAACTCTGCAGATATTACCAAATTAAAGGTTCACCATGTAAAAATATTAAACTAAAAAAATAAATGCAACTCTGTTTTCATAACCACATTACTGCCGTAGCAGCAGTATAAATACTTAGGGTTACATTTTAGGATAATGGGCTTAAGTCACTTGGAGGAAATAAATAAATAAATAAAACTTAAATAATAATGCTAATACATAATATTTCTTTCATCCATAAGGTTTAGTGGCTTTCCATTTGGGCCTTGCATCACTACTTTTCGACCCAAAATGAACCTTGGCCCCAAGGTTCTCGTTGAGAGGAAACCCATGCGGAATAGAAGAAGTAGAAGGGGATAATGAATGGTCACGTGAAGGGTCAGGAACAACAGCAGGTGTGAGCAGAGTTTTGTCAATTTCAATAGAAGGTGGGATCCAGCTGTCGCGTGGAGAGAAGAAACGACCTTCCCGTTGGAAATCCAACGGTTGCATGTGTGCTTGGGAAAGTGGTGTCTTGGTCCACGCGTTGCTGTCTTGAGCACATGCGTCCATAAAAGTAGTGGGATGTACAGAAAGAGGGAGAGTTTGTACTTCCACAAAATCACTTGAAGAAAGATCAGAGTCTTGAGGTTCTTTCTCTCTACTCACATCGTATTTCTCCTCATCTTGCTTCGAATTTTCTGAACACTCAAGAGGAATTGTTGGGATGCTCGAAAGCTGAGAAGGAACAGATGACGGAGAGTTAAAGGTAGGAAGAGAAATTGCTGTGGAAACATTTGGGCTACTTATAGTCGTTCCCTCTGAGTTAGTGATAACTTGCTGTTGTTGTTGTTGTTTTGTTGCAGGTGCAGATGTCGATGGAGGAATAGCTTCGTGGTAGCGGCGCAACTGGGAAAACTGGACAACATTGTGGATCTTGGAAGAAGGAGGGAGGTCAAGCTCATACGCCACTGCGCCGATTTGGCGTAAAATGGAGAACGAACCAAAGTAACAAGGGGATAATTTTTGGGAACGTCGTTGTTGAACTAAGTTCTGCCGATATGGTTGCAAACGAAGTAAAACAAGGTCTCCAACCTCGAAGGTATAGTTGCTTCTATTTTTGTTAGCTTGTTCCACCATGTGCTTTCTACTGAGTTTTAGATTCTCCTTGAGAGTTTCAAGGATGTTTTGTCTGTTGGCTAAAACTTCATCGACGAATGTGTTTCAGTGGAGCCTTTGGTGTAGTCCAAGAGTGTTGGTGGTGTACCGTAGAGCGCTTCAAACGGGGTAATGTTGATGGCGGAATGATGTGAACTATTGTACCAAAACTCTGCCTGGTGCAAATACTTGAACCATTTGCGAGGCTGGTCATCGGTAAAGCATCGAAGGTATGTTTCCAAACTTCTGTTTATAACTTCGGGTTTGGCCGTCCATTTCTGGATGATAAGCGGTGCTGTGTTTCAGGGTGGTGCCTTGTAAACGAAAGAGTTCTTTCCATAAGTTGCTAAGGAACAAAGGATCCCGATCAGAGACAATGGAGGCTAGAATACCATGGAGACGATAGATTTCAGCAGAGAATCGAGTGGCGAGATCTTTTGCAGTAAAATGGGTCGGAACGCCTATAAAGTAAACAAACTTGCTTAGACGATCACATATGACCCAAATCGCAGTGTTCCCAAATGAAGCAGGTAAGTGTGTGATAAAATCCATGGTCAATTCCTCTCGAACTTGTTTTGGAATATCTAAAGCCTGTAGTAATCCTTGTTTCTTCTTTGGAAGGTACTTGTTTCGCTGGAAAATGGAGCAACTTTGAACAAATTCTTTTGTTTCTTTGTGGATTCCCGACCAATTGAAAGATGCAGATAAGCGAGCAAGAGTGGGTTGAACTCCAGAGTGTCCAGCAGTAGTGGTGGAGTGAAATTCATGGAGGAGAGCTTGTCTGAACTCAGGAATGTGAGGTACATACAGTTTTTCCTTGTAATACATGAGGTTATCTTTGAATGTGAAGACAGTTTGCATTATGGGATCTGACAAGTATTTAGTTACGAAATCTTGATCCTGTTTTTGTTTTGTGTAGTGATATCTCAGTTGATCAAGGAGGGCAAGAATTGGTGAAGAGATAGTGAGACAGACAACGTCATCTTTAGTATGTATGCGGATAAGAGCGTCTGCGACTTGATTATTTCTGTCAGGTTTTTAAAAGATGTCAAAATTAAGAATTTTTTCCCCACATGCCACACCCTTGAAACAAAAATCCCAAAATGCCACGCCCTGAAAAATATTTCTCAAAATGCCACACCCAGGAGGGGTTCACGCCATTTGAGATGGCGCGAAGGTGAGCAGGAAGGGCTCAAGCCATTTCAAATGGCGTGAAGGGGTTTTATATTTTTTTTCTTCGTTTTTCTGAATTTTTAATTATTTATTTTAATAACTTTTATTATTTAATATTTATATTAATTAACAAATACTTTTTATTAAATAAACTTTATTATATAATGTTTATATTAATTACAAATACTTTTTTATTTAAATAAAATGTATTATTTAATGTTTATATTAATTACAAATACTTTTTATTAAATAAATTTTATTATTTTTATGTTTATACCTTTAACAATTAAATATGAAAATAAATTAATACTTCGAATAAATATTTAACAATTACAAAAGGCTTAAATGCAGTTTTGACCCTTCTAGTTTAATGTTTTTGGAGTTTAGATCCCCCTAGTTTAAAAGCCAGGTTTCTAGTCCCCAAAGTTTTCAAATTTGGGATTTTTGAAGCCCCCTCCATCTGGCTGCCCAAAAAGTGACATGGCACAGGGAGAGTAATGCCACGTATTATTTTCTTATTTCTTATTTAGAATAATATTTTTTAAACATTTAAATAAGTGATATTAATTTCCAAATGAATTTTTAATTTCATAATTCATATTTTCTGAAAATCCCAAATTGCTTAACCTAATTTCCTCTTCCATCCGCCCGTACGAGATTTCTTCTGATCATCTTCAACCCTCCTTCTTGGTACGACCTCCAACACTCCATCTTCGTCTTCCTTCTGTGGTACCAGCTTCAACCATCACACTCCTACTACATACTACCTTCACACTCTCTCTTAAAGCTTCGTATAATCATTCTGATATTTAGAGCGATGAGGAAAGATGGAGAAAGATATTCTATGAGGTAAGTTTTGTTGTCTTCTTGAACATGTTTTTATATAGTTCTGTGTGGTCCCCCCATGTGCTTTCAAGAAGCTTTTCAATTGTCACTTGCAATAAATGTGGACAAACTGGACACAACAGTAGGACTTGTAAGGGCAAGAGGGCAGCTGATAGGCAGATACCAAAAGGAGGCAATAAGAAGACCAAGCAAACAAAGACAACCAAGAAGGCAAAGAAGACTAACAAGAAGACTAAAGATGCAGAAAAACAGATTGAGATTGGTCAGAGATCTCAAGCACCTCAGCCTAGTCAAGAGTAGAAGTAATTAGGAATGATGTTGCTTTTTTTTGGAATGAAACTTGATGTATTAGTGGAAATCTTTAGTATGGTTATAATGGATATCTTTAGTATGGTTATATTTTGTAATGAATATTTTGTAATGGATATGTTGTAATGGATATGTATCTTGTAATGGATATGTTTTGGTACAATCATGAATTTGGTACACACTCTGCTACAAACTGTCTTGGCTGCTCAAGTATGCAACAAACTGTGTTGAATAATTCTGCAAAATTCTGTGTTTAAAAAATTCTGTGTTGCCACAAACTGCTCAAAAAATTCTGTGTTGCCACAAACTGCTCAAAAAATTCTGTGTTGCAAAAAAATCTATATTGCAACAAAATTCTGTGTTTAATAATTCTGCATTTGGTATCTGCATCTGCGTTTGGAAAAAATTCCGTGTTTAATAATTCTGCATTTTGTATAATTCTGCAACAAAATTCTGTGTTTAATTAGTTATAATTCTGCATCTGCATTTAGGTATAATTTAAGTATAATAATTCTGCATCTGCATTTTGAAAAATTCTGCATTTTTTCTGTATTTAGGTAGACCATTTTTTCTGCATTTGTAATGGCCTACATAATGTTTCATTATTACACTGAGAAGTTATACTTAATGGTCTACATAATGAAACAAATTCAAGTGCAATTGCAATTTATAAACCTCAAACATCATCATTTCATTATAAACCATGAGTAGTTATACACCTCAAACATCATTACGAACTAAACAACATAGAAACTCCAACATTAATAAACCTACACACAACAATACAAATAAACCTCCAATACTAATAAACCTAGATCATTTCAACCAACACAAAGAACCTCCTACAGACAACAATGAACCTCCAATACTAATAAACCTACATCATTTCATTATTATTGTTGCAACAAATGCAACCAACACAAAGATGGTTATGAACCAATTAAACTTCAACTGTTTCTTTAAAAATTTGATCTTCATCCTTGTTTCTTCTTCTTTTACCATTGACTCTTTAACCCTCTGCTTTTCTTCATTCAAGTTGTGGAGTAAGTTCCCAATCACTTCCTTTGCCCTAGGATTCATTTCCTCATCCAACCAAACAAAATTACTGCACTTCTTGAAACCTTGAACCTGCAACAATGGAGGTCACAAAATATTCAGTCTATACTCAATTCTGAGGAGCAAATTTTGTAATTGAAGAATATCATACCTTGTACATCCCACATCCGAAAAAGCGTCGTCCTGGGTTTGAATCGGTCCAAGCCGTCATCAACGGAGCATCGATACCACAGTGGCATTCATGTATAACAGAATGATTCCTGTAGCTCGGATTCGACACGGATTTTTGAGACATGTTGGATGCTTGCAGGAAGGAAGAGAAGGTAGATGGAATAGAAGGTAGATGGAGGTCGTACCAAGAAGGAAGGTTGTAGATGACCAGAAGCAAGGATGGAAGAGGAAATTAGGTTAAGCAATTTGGGATTTTCAGAAAATATGAATTATGAAATTAAAAATTCATTTGGAAATTAATATCACTTATTTAAATGTTTAAAAAATATTATTCTAAATAAGAAATAAGAAAATAATACGTGGCATTACTCTCCCTGTGCCATGTCACTTTTTGGGCAGCCAGATGGAGGGGGGCTTCAAAAATCCCAAATTTGAAAACTTTGGGGACTAGAAACCTGACTTTTAAACTAGGGGGATCGAAACTCCAAAAACCTTAAACTAGGGGGGTCAAAACTGCATTTAAGCCATTACAAAATGATAATAATTTTTTTTATTAAATAAATAAAATATGCCAATTAGAATCAAAATGCAAAATAAAATAAAACTAGTTAGAAGGGCCTTAATTATTGAGGCGATGCAGAAATTTTTTCCGCATATGAGGTTGTTGACAGATACCGCATCGTCTTTTTATTTTTTCAACAGTGTCCATTTCAGTTCTAATGCGAGTACTGTTTGGGCGACCTTTTTTGTTTCGTCGCATCCTTTCATAATGCATAAGAGTATCACCCAAATATGGAGGCCAACTATCTTCTTGGGGAACACCGCGAAAACTTTGTATGTAAACTTTGAAGACGTTTATAACTCTATACAAGTCAGGAATAAACGTAGTATAGTCGTGGTTAATGTGAGAACACGCTGCGATAGCATGTGAGCAAGGCAGATGAAAAGTTTGAAATCTCCCACAGTCACAAGTTCGTGTTTGGAGGTTGACGTTGAAATGGGTAAGTGGTCGACAATTCCTATTATTAACCGTCTCTTGAACCACGAAATAATGACTTTCACGGTCAAAAGCCAAGACATTATAACTGTGGGATTTTTCTACTTCTTCTACAATTACTTTCATGCAGTTATCTGTGAACTCCTTTCCCGATGACAAATTTTTGGTCCAATCCTTTCCTCGCTTACCCCACAATGTTCCCATCCTGTAGTATGTTGATCTTACAAGTGATGTAATAGGTAGGTTTCGGGTTTCCTTCAAAATTGAGTTCAAAGATTCAGCTTGGTTGGTTGTCATGTGACCCCATCGTGCTCCTCCGTCGTAAGCTCGCGACCATTTTTCTCTTGGAAGGTTCTCTATCCAATTAAAAGCCTCTGTGTTTGTTTGGCGGATCTCCTCTCGATAATATGCGTATGTAGACTCATTAATTGCATACCCTTCATAAAAGCATTAAAACATTAATATAAAAGAACTATATATTGAAATGCCGTGTTAAAAATTAGAGAGTAATTACCCATGTTAACAACTGTCTTGCGAAGGTTTTTGTCCTTGATGGCTCAGATGAAGTTTTGTGCGATGTGCCTAATGCAATACACATGCACCGAAGGTGGGTTCTGTCAGCCATTATCCGGGTTATTGTAGGCACTCCTAATGGACTCGTGTCGGTCAGATATCAAACATAAGTTTGATTGGGGTGTGACGTGGAGTCTCAAATTTTTCAGAAAGAAACTCCAAGCTCCCCCGGTCTCACCTTCGACCAATGCATATGCGATTGGGAAAATGTTATCATTCCCATCTTGTGCAACAGCCAGGAGCAATGTTCCCCTATATTTTCCATACAGCCATGTACCATCTACCTGCACTATAGGTTTACAATGTGCGAAACCCCTAATACAAGGTTGAAATGCCCAAAAAAGGCGATGGAAAATTCTTGCACCACCAATTTGTGTTCCTTCATTTGAATATACAGGAAGTGTTTCAAGATCTATGATGGTACCTGGGAGAAATTGTTGCATGACTAGCAACCACTGTGGAAGATTGTTATAAGAGGCCTCCCAATTACCATAAATATCTTCGATTGCTTTGTTCTTTGCAATCCATGCCTTTTTGTAAGACACGGTGTAGCCATAAGTCGTACGAATATGAGCAATAATATGTCTAACCTTGATTGCTGCGTCGTTGTCAACAAGAGGTCTGATGTTATGGGCGATCATCTTTGAGGTAAGCTTTTTGTGATCTTGAGATATAGCAGTCGACATGCAAGTGTGTGGCCCTCCAATTCTGCCAATAACCCATTTACCACACCCCTCCCTTAACGAAGCCCTACATGTGAAGTTGCATTCCTCCTTTTTACATTTAATTAAATATCGTGTCGGATCAGACTTACAAACTTAAATGTATGGGAATTTTTTATGTGATACTCAGATATTGCAAGGAGACATGCTTCTTTGTTTTCAAAAGTCATACCAACCTTTAAGTCATCACATGACTCACGTTCGTGTACGGATTCGAAGACTAAAATTGGTTCCACACATTCAAATGAAATGTTTCTCAAATGATAGGGTGGGTTATACAGATCAAGTATATGAGCCAGTTCTGCCTCCAGCCTATCATCGTCACCTGACTCATCACTGGATCCACTAAACAAATTAATTTGTCTAGCATCGTCGGAGTCAGTATCATCACCCACTTCCTCTTCCGGAAATATTGGCTCGTTATGTTGTACTTCGACAGACTCTTCTTGTTGGGAGACCTGACTTTGTTGATATGCATGAGTTTGTGATGATTGTGTTGGAAATACTTCATGCATTTGTTGAAAACAAATATACAACTCCATTTCTTGTTGACTGCAAAACCTTGAGTGACATTGAAGCATTGAACGGACATCTTCATCGTCTTCGATTTTTGCAGTGTTGTATGTGACATTGTGATCAACTGGATTAACTATTGGAAATCGATAAAAAATAGAAGTTACATGCTGTCGTAAAGTTTCTTCTATTTTTTCCGTCAACTGAGGTAAATCACTATTTCGATGAATTTTTAAAATATTTGTATCTGTATTTTGAAATACCACTCCAATAATTTCATCGGTAAAAATATTACCGTTGAAATGTAACAGACAAGAAATATGATTTTGTGGCATTGTGTTTGATGTAATGTTCAATTGTTTGAATATGTGATAGTTTGGTTTGTTGAATACACTATGTTGAATTGTAAAATGCATGTATTAAATAACAAACAGCAAAAGCGTTGGATTTCATGCATGCACACTAGCGCCATTTCAAATGGCGTGAAGGCCATAAAGGCGCCATTTCAAATGGCGTGAAGCCCATAAAGGTGCCATTTCAAATGGCGTGAAGGCTATGTTTGCTCCATATGAAATGGCGTGAAGCCCCTAGTTGCGCCAAGTCAAATGGCGTGAAACCTAGGGTTGCTCCATTTCAAATGGCGTGAAGGCTATGTGTCTGGCGTGAAGTCATATGTTGCATGCATATAAGAGCTACAATAAACGATAATGTTATCAGATTAAAATGAGTCTGATACTCTGCTCAGTATACATTATTTCGTATAATTCACAGGTTGTTATGTTTGATTATAGAAATGCATTTTCTAATCCTTTGGTTGTGCGGCTTATGGAAAGATCTAAACTAATTCATTTGAAAAATCAATTACGTCAAGTCACAAATATTAATAGGAGCATCACAGAGATCTCTTTCAACCGAACTACCATCAACGAAAATGGTGTCTTGATGCAGCATATTACACAGTTAGTTACAAATACAGATGTATTTAATATGTTTGAGGATTTTCGAATTGGTGTTAATAAAACACCTTTTGAGTTGTATGTCAGATTCAGTAGATCAGCGGATGAGGTTTTATCTTTGTGTACAAAACCGTGTAATTTACAATATTCGCAATAAATTACAAATTTATATTTATCCAACTTTCATTAAATTACTCTACTACCTACCAACTCTAATTAAATAACTTTACTACCTATTAATCATAATTAATTAAATTATTCAACTACCAACCAACCACACTCACCTCTTTTTTCCTATAAATACCCAATCACTCCCACCTCATTTCTCCACAAACACACTTCATTCTATTTACACTTTCTACTCTCTTTTGATAAGTTTTCTCTTCTCTCTTTTCACAAGTCTTGTTCTTCATTTTCACAGTTATGGCCAATATGTTTTGGTATGGTACACAACATAGGGGAACGGTAGAAAATATCAATGCTGTAAGTTTTTTTGATTTATTCAACTTTATTCGTATTATTTATTTTTGAGTTTACAATAGTAGTTTTATTCATAATTTGCATAGAAATAGTGAATATTTTTCTATATTATTTATTTCTATTACAGATTGATGATAATTATATTTCAAAATGGAGAATCCGTGCTCACAAACCTCTGAAGCCACATGGAGCCATAATCCCGTACCTTCATCAATCTGGGTTCTACCATGTATCTACAATAGGGTCAACAGATATCGATTCAAGGTTAGTTATAACCTTACTGGAACGGTGGAGACCCGAAACTCATACATTTCATCTTCCAAACGGTGAATGCACAATTACGTTGGAAGATGTGAGTATGTTACTGGGTCTTCCTGTTGATGGAAAAGCGGTAAATGGTCAATCTGAGTTGGGTGATGGTGCATGGAGTTCTATTTTAGGGGATGAACCGCCACAAAGTGATAAAGGAATGACGGCGAGGTTGACATGGCTTAAAGACATGTACCGACATGAACCACCAACCGAGGAGTCACCCGAGGAGTATAAAATTAAACATGCTCGTATTTATATTTTACTCCTTATCGGGCAAGTTTTGTTTCCCAACAAAAACGGAAACAATATACACTCAAAATGGACACAATTTGTTGTTGATTTAGAAGATTGTGGAAAATTGAGTTGGGGTTCCGCCGTTTTAGCGAATCTATATAGGGAAATGTGCAAGGCGGTAGACATAAAAGTAACAGAGCTGTCAGTTTTACACGCATGCCTATAATATCTCCGGTGGCTCCGCTTCAATCTCCATATCCTTACGCAAGAAGATAATATTTTATTTTAAATTTAAAATTATAATTAATATTGTTAGGATACTCTAAAATAAAATTTT